GGGGAGGGGGGATTGCGTGTGTAAAATTTTAGTGATAATCTAGAGATAAAAAAAGTGCAGTTTTGCTTGGGAGCAAGGAAGACAAACTAAAAGCAAAAGATAGTCTGAATGTTTTATGAACCGTTCAAATATAAAACAAAATAGTGTTTGAAATGTACCAATGCTAAACTTGGGTCTTCAAATTTCAAGATTGATTAGACACTTCCCAGTATTATATTATTTTGCTAATAATTCCATCTGTCACGAAATAAATACTCAGTGATATTATTCCCTTTTGCAGAGGAGTCCAAACTATCCAGACTTCAAGCACAAAGATACAGGCGAAGCATTGTGGGTAGAAGGCAGGTATAATCCAACATGGGTGAAATCTCAACTTGCAGTACTAGATTCAAAGATGGAATCTTTTCATGATCAAAATGGCAGCGCGAATGCAGACTTCATGTCCATGGAAAATTTTCAATTTTAGCTCTTCTCCATTTGATTTTGGCTGTACTTTCAAACATACTCTTGTATAGTTTTGTTTCTTCAAGTAGGAACATAAAATTTTGTGTTATCTGTTTGCTAGTATTGCTTTTCAAGGAATTTTGTATTCACTGGAAGTTTGTGAATCATTCTACGGTTGTAACTTGTAAGCTAACAAGAAGAATCTACTACACTCGGCTTCATAATGGAATGGTGTTCTCTCTTTTGACAAAAAATACTACTCCATTTAACTTGCATGTTCGTTTCGGCCGAACCCAGTAGCTTTAGTCCAAACCATGTATTTGTTTTAAGAAATTCATTGAATAAATACAAATTTTTACTTTAGAATCCAGTAATATAAAAAGGTTAGAATCCCGAACCCAGTAACTTCAAATCCTCGCTCCGCATTTGCTTCTGGGTGTACATAGGCCGGGTTGATTTGGTTTTTTCCTTTACCAAACCAAACCAATAATAATAGTCGGGTTTTTCGGCTTTTCTGGATTTTTGGTGGTTCGATGTGCATCATCTTATCATAAGTCTAACAAAATCTGAGTCATACACATCAGTTACTTGCAAAGGAAATACCAGAACAGCTCTTAAAAATAGCTGGCATCAAAACAATCATGTTTTATGAGAGTTCTTCGGCAACTTCAGAATGACAACACTTTTTCAGGCATGTATAACCAACCCCTGTTAAAACTAGCTGATTAACACAAAACCACATGCATATCACTGGACTGGACATAAAGAAAACCATGGGATCAAAATGGTATGCGTCTGCTTGCCACCAATTTCAACACTTAAATTCAAGGGTAATTGCTAAAAAAATAACTTCAAAATCTGAGTGTAAATTAGTTCGGTTTGGGCTTTTTAACCTAAAAGACATATATGGGTAGTGAGCATAAATAGTAAGCCCAAATCTGATGTTAAAGTTGAAAACTATGGCAAGTTAAAGAAAATTATATAATTATATTATAATAAATATTTTTTTGTATAAAATAATTTTAATAATCATATATATATATATCGGGTTGGTTTGGTCTCGGGTTAAATTTTTTTAATTAATACCGAACCAAACCATTTATAGTCGTTTTTTTTTACCAAATCACTAGTCGTTTTTTTAAATGTTTGACTCGATTTGTCGGTTTGACGTGATTTGTGGTTTGGTTTTGTTCACCCCTGCTTCTAGAAATTGATAATCAAAAGAACACTTTTAAATATGATTAAGCAATTTCTTTTAAAAAAAAAATAAATCATTTTACAAGTTTATTGATTTTAGTGCTAAATACACAAGAAACAGAAAACACTCCTCATAATTTCTTTTCCAACCCCATGATTTAACTCAGAACACAATTTGATCATTTCTTTTTATATTCCGATCGATATTTTTATCAAACAAATTAAACAATAAACATTAATCATCTTAAAAATATTGATATAGATTAAAAAAAAATATATTATGATCTATGCCTGATTGATTCTTTGATTATTTTTAGTGTGATAAAGTTAAGGTTCATTTAAATCTGAATCTTGTGAAGCAAAGACATCATGTTCTATATATGTTCTACGACAGGTTAACCACTTATAATCTCCTCGTCTGTGCTCTATCCTCTGATTGTCCGAGTTGAATTGAAAAGGAGAAACAAGAAACGAATAACTAAATTACCCGGTCCCCTAATACATTAATTCCACCGCGCGAATTTTGTCTATCGTCTCAAGGAGGGTCTCACCGCAACGTTGCGTGCAAAATGATCTTTCTTAATCTGGATCCAATGAATTACGTATTAACTTTGAAATGAGAAATTTGACTATTCCTATAATTTCTCCCACTAGGAATCGTAGAAGATGGACCATATATAATAGTTCCTTTTTTTTTTGGTTGTTTCTCTAGATACCATTAATTAGTTCCTATTTGTTTACCCTAAAAAATGGATAATAATTAAATTTATAAGTGGTTTTAAGGATACGTAGATTAATTCAATACAAACGATAAATTGTGTTAGATTAAACAGATAAAAGACGTGATAAATTATCAAACCAATCAAGAGGGGTGATCCCGGATTTAGTAACAACCTTAATGAGATGCCTGCCCTCGATTCCGGACTCACAATAACGAAGAACTGATGAACAAGAATAAGATCTTTGAATAACAGAGAAAATAAGAGTATATTGTCTTGATATGCGTGTTATAATATCTCTCATGAATAATCAGACCCCCCTTTATATAGTATATGAGTTTTACCCTAAGTACAATTTCATAAAAGGTAAAAATCTTTCATTTAACTAATCACCGGTTCTCTGCCGATATGTGCCGAGATCTACGCCGTGATATCCGGTCAGTCGCGGACATCACAACCTTTTGTTGGTCGTACTCGATTGTTTGGTAATGCTCTCTGAGGCTTTTGGGGTTCGAACCAGACCTGTGGGTCATGGCCCCGATACTCCCGAGGGCGGGTGTTTTGTCTGGACCCCGGACCAAGGGGCTCCTTGCCTCGATTTCGGTTCCTTTCCTTTATGTTTCTTACTCCGTTCACTTCATCGAAAATCGAGGTATCCCACGGGCTCAGAGCCCATTCGCAGCAACGCACTCTAGTAGTTCATTCGCTATCCTCTCCTCTTGCTCGACGAACCAACTTGAGGCCTTGATTCATCCTCGGGGGCTTTCTATTTGCTTGCAATGCCGACTGTTCGCCTTTAGTTAGAAGTAGAAGTAGAGGGCGCCATTTTCCCCACACTTCCTGAATATGCCAATAAATAATTAATTGTACTAATCCACATATGTCTCTCTCCCATCAATCGGTACTAGTTGAAGTAATGAAAAAATCCCCTATTTGTTTGATGAGAAATGCGAAACAAAAAAGAAAAAAAAAAGATCCCCCGTTGGGAATGAAATTATGCTCCCTGTCCCCCTTTTCACAGAAAATGGAGAGATGAATTGATATATTTATTGAATCCGTCGGGACTGACGGGGCTCGAACCCGCAGCTTCCGCCTTGACAGGGCGGTGCTCTGACCGATTGAACTACAATCCCAGGAAAATTAGGTGTACAGNTTTGATGAGAAATGCGAAACAAAAAAGGAAAAAAAAAAAGATCACCCGTTGGGAATAAAATTTTCACCCGTATACAGATAGTCCCCTCATTTCTCGGAAAGTAAATTTACGGAAACGACATGAGCACCTCGATTCCTTCTTCAATACGCCGTGACAAAAACGACAAAGAATCTGAAACGGCCTGTCAGTCGCATCATAATGACTTCAAACGCGTGTCGGCCATCGGCAGACCGTCCCTGGACATGAAACGACACGAAGCCTCTATAAATACTCCCCTCCTTCATTCATTTTTTACTTTTTGACCAAGCTTCTACCTTCGTACCTTCAGGATATCACTGCTCTCTTCATATCCCAACATTTTTACCTTCGTTCTTCAAGAGTTTTCAACAAATTGTAAGTTTTCATTTATCTTTTATCCAAACCAGTGCGTTTGATTTTCTCGGCAAGCTTTTACCCTTCATCTCCCATTCTTCCTTCTCACTTCTTCTAACTTTTTTCTAGATAACAATGGAGAAGACTTCTAAGACTGTTCCCCAAAAAGTTGCTATTTCTTCTTCACGGCCAACTACCGAAGTCGTGGAGACCGCTCCCGATATGGTTGACCTTGAGAGATCCGCTCCGGGCATGGCTATCGATGAACCGACATCTGAGCCTCCCTTGAAAATGTTCGTCCCCGGGAGGTGTTCGGTCGCAGACGACTTTAAGGTCGAAAAATCCTCATTGGTGCAAGGCCGATGCGAGGCGGTATCTAGGTACATTTGCTCAATCACCAAGGCCGTCCTTCCTATGGTTCGTAAGGACTGCGGCTGGGCGGATAAGGACATAGTAATCCCCGGGCCCGATGATGACATTACTACCCATGTGGAGGGGTATCTGAGTGTTTACACTTACCCCTTCACACTGGGCCCAGTTATTCTGGACTTCTGTAGGAGGTATGAAGTGTGCCTTGGTCAGATCTACCCATCTCTATGGAGGATCGTAATCCGCCTCCGATTCTTTGTGAACAAAATCGACTACTCCTTGTTCACCATCGATCATCTACTAATCATGTACAATCCCCGAATCTT